GAGTTTGAGGGGGCGTCGGGCGGGGGAATTGTCCCTGGTATGAGCGTCTGTGCGTCGTCTCTCACAGGGGAGGCCGTATGTTATATACACCTATATGCACACATATATAGAGAGGTATATACATATGTGTGTGTGTTTACCCCTTGGATGTGTGTATAACCCTAGATGTATGCCTCCGTCTCAAGAGATCTATAGGTCTGTATAGGTGTAACCCCTTGGGAGACTACAGAAATGGTATCAAAATAAACAAATGACGTATTATTTATACATAATACATACAAGAATGCAATATGCTATGCACACATACATGGTGGTTGACGGTTGGACTAGATGATCTTGTAGGTCTTTTTCAACCTTAGTGATTCTATTCTGTGATTAAACGCTTCCATGAAAATGTGTAGGTACCGATGCAGTTACAGCTACAGCCATGGGCTGGGCAGGCACTCCTGAGCAGGGCAGCGGGGCCTGCCCACCTCTTGCCCGCACTGGCCGTGTCATTCGTGAGCTTGGCCCGGTGGCAGGAGGCTCTGAGGGCTGTGACTCAGCTTCTCTGCTGGGTGGTGTCCAGCCAGTGTTTGGCAGTGATAAGGCCCTGTCTCCCCCCCGCCCCCCCCCAGCATCCTCCCTTTATTCCGGGCTTTTTGTTTGTTTTTGTCTTCACACACACAAAACAAAAAACTCCTCTGGGGACTGCGGCGGCGGTGGCAAGTGTAAGAGGCAGAGGGGTCATGACAGAGGAGAGGCGTCCCAAAGTAAGTGACCGAGTGAATCTCTGGGGTTCCTGAACAGAAAATATGGGAAGGGGGCTATGTCTGTGTGCACATGCTGGGACCCGCCAATAAACAGCGTAAGACACCGTGGGAGTTGCGGCACCCTGAGTATTTGTCACCTGTACTGTCAATGTCAGCAGAGAAACAGCGCGTGGGTAATCATGCCTCTAAACTCACTTCAGCCAGGCTGGACAAGCTGGAAGTGTTGGAAACACGTGGTTGTCGTTCGGTCTGTTCAGTTCTGATTCCCCGTGAATGATGGTGCCTACTATGGCGCAGCTTAGCACAAACAATTCCTCAATGTGCGCTTTCAATTTGAGGTATTATTTTGTGTCTTGTCCCTTGTGTAGGCAAGGAAGGTGCTTCAGTGGGACACGGGACCTGCATGAGGATGAAGTTCATTTAGCCTGGGATCTTATACGCTTATTAAACACTCTCTAATTGCTTTATCCAGTTTAAATTATCTTCTTACAGTCAGACCCCTTACTTGAGGAGCCGTTCCCTCATAAGACATTTCAGGTGGTTGATGCTTTTCTTTCATTGCAAAGTTCTAAACGTACCTGCTGGAGTCACCTGCCCGTTTCTGCAAGGGTAAATGTATGGTTTAACAACCAGCAGTAGTGCTGGCATTTTTGAAGGTATTTGTACATGAATTTCTTCCAATATTGACCTTGTTAGGAATTAGAGGTTTATTCATATATCTGTGGAGCTGTAAAGGTGGCTGGATGTAAACACCAAAGTGGGAAAATTTTGTTTAAGGTCATCTTAGCAGAAGATATAACTAGCATATTGAAATTAGAAAATGGAGTGTAGGTAAAACATTTTTCATCTTGAATTTGTGTTTCCGTTAAGCAAGCTGTCATTCAACAATTTAAAAACATAATGTTGGTTATATTTTCCAAAACTTAAAAGTAGGTATGAAATACCCATAGCAACTTACAACTGAATGGAAGCCCATTTGCTGTGAACTCTGTGGGTTTCCACACTGATGTAGTGCTTCTCATAGTCAAAATACTAACCCATGTGTATATTGTGTAGGTCTGCTAGCAAGAATGTCTGAATTTTTACCTTGGAACACTGGAACGTTGAAGTGCTTTTTATCTAAAATAAGGTCTGCTGTGCATTGCCTTGGAATATTATCAGTGTTATGCAAATTGTTAGTAACACTCAGTGGGTTTTAGCAGCTTCTTTCTGAGTGAATCTGCATCCATCCGATTACGTGCTCCGGTGTACTACTCCGGCATTTTAAAGCCATTTCTGAAACTGAAGTCTCAAAACACCCCTATCACTTGTTTCCAAGCACCTTCTTTTATTTTTCCACGTCGACCATCACCTGTATGAGTTTCTCCACTGACTGCCGAAGCTGTCTGAGAATTGCTTGGAGCAAAATATGTAGCTCTGGAATCAAGGAGCTGTTAAAGCTGGTTTGCCCACGGCATGACATTTTCACTGTTCCCTGCAGGTGGAGCAGTACGTTGGTGAAATTAAGGGTGGCCTGAGACCAGCCATGAAACTCACAGTCATGGGAATGGTACACTCCAACCCCAAGAGGTAGGTGAAGGGGCTGGTGGGGGCTTCGCCTCGTCATACACCCTCCTACCCTGTCTTCTAAATTCAGAAGATTTCTTTAGGGTCTGTGCTCTTTGGAGGAAGAAAGTCAAAGGGATTCATAATTTATAGGTTTATTTAATTTTCCCACTCTTAGACTAAGTTTAAAAGGACAAGAAAGAACTCAGTGTTCAGTCTTTCTGACTACCCTGGCTGGATTTTCTCCTCCTTGCCCTTATCTGATGCTTACCGGAGGGGGCACATAAGTGGCATTTCTCCTCGAGGAAGAGATGCAATTCTGAACCTGCATCTTGGTTTTCTCCTGGGGGCTGGAATCAACAACACTTAAAACCCAGTGGTTTTGGCACAGGAAGTGCAGGTTCATTGCTGTGTTTCATCTGGTTGACATCAACTCCACTTATCATCACACTTTTTTGCATCTACAGTGATCGACTTGAGTGCTTCCACTGGTGAAGAGTTTGCCATAACCTCTTTTAGGACACAAATTAGAATTGGCTCGTGCACAAAGGTTGATTTGATTTCAGCCACAAGAGAGAGAAAGCAACATCAGAAGTCACTAGCATTCTACTGGAAAGTGGAGGAGAAACAAAGACCGGCTTGTTCTCATTCTTCTCCGCAGCTTCTAAGCCTGTAGAAGTTTTTTGTTTCAGTCTGACAAGAGATCAACATCTGTCTCTAGACTTTATAGGTATCTGCCGTGTTCACCATGTCCTTTCACATTTCTGAAAGTCCCAGTCATTTAATTCTTCTTTTCAGCTTTTCAGTGACTCTGCTCTGTGATCCAGTGGATGCAAACAAAGATGTTGGGCTGTTATTTTCAGTTAACTTCAGCGACAAATCCATCATCCGAAATGCACGAGTTGCTGGGAAATGGGGAAGAGAAGAGAAGACTATTCCCTACTTCCCATTTACAGCAGGCGACACATTTAAGGTAATTTCTTGGGTACTATGAATACGGTGGAGGAAAGGAGGGGAGAAAGGCTGAAAGCTATGTATATGACCACAGGTAGCTCACTATTGGCATTGCCAGGTTAACTAGTGGCACAGAGAGCAACAGTTCAAGCCCTGATGGGAGAGATCCATTCCTTGCTCTCATCTTAGTGAGGACTGTAAGGAGCTTTACAGAATCATCTCAGCAGAGGCTGCATTATTTATTGGTGGCATTTCCGAAGAACTGGTAGACTTTGTGCTTCACTATCCCTATCACATGGGGTTCTAAGTCCATGCTGCTGAAATAAACTCTGCTGCTGACCTCTAATGCCCTCCCCTGTCCTTCTCCACTGCAGATGGAGCTCTTATGTGAACACCAGCAGATAAGGGTCTTGCTTGATGGACGGCAACTCTGTGACTTCACTCATCGCATTCAGCCCCTGAACTTGGTGAAAGCTTTGCAGATCTCAGGGGACATCAAGCTTACCAAAGTGGCTTGAAAGAAAGGAGACCACAATATCACCGGGGACAAAGGCAAATGTACTTTCTCATGTCTGAGAAACGTTTTATCTTTTTCCCCTGGCTGATTCTGGAGAGTGGGAACAGTTTCTTCTTAATTTGCTGATGTGTTTGAAATATACACTTTTTCCTCATACACACTCAACAATTCCAAAGCTATGGCTGGTCCAGGTAAATCAGAGAACCTTTGCTGAGATACTCCTTTGGCCTCCCAACCAACAAGATTTGTGATGCCATGCAGTATCTCACATCCTCATGGTCCCCTAACCCACCCAGGCCCGCAAGCTGTTGGAGCTCAGTCCTCTGCGGTGTGGTGGCTCTTACCCTTCTGACTAGAACTGGGCAGTATGCAGGTGGTGGGACTGAGAAAAGAGAGGCAGGAGATATTCTTGGACTCTGGTGGGCCCCAGGCTCAGGTTATCAGGAGGGAATTGCTTTTCCTGGAAGCTCTGCTCAATCAACACAAAGCCCTCTGTACTTCCCAGTGCAGAGCAATGCCTCACCTGCATCCCTGTCTCTTGCAGGTAGCATTGTCGTGAACTGAAAGGTTTCAACAGATGTGGAATTCACAGTCTAATCTGGACCAGCCCTAAGAAATGGTATATGTAGCTGAAACTGCATTGTCCATTCTTGTATCTAATTAAAACTGCAT